GGTGAGTGGACTCGGAGACTCAGGCTGTTGCTAGATTAGCCACAACCGGAAAAGAAATGGGAATGCACGTGCCTGACGGCTACCCGACCCACGGAGGCCCTGGCGCTGTTCACCTGGCCAGGTCGCTCAACAGCCTTCCAGGTCCCTGGCCTTCATTCATTATTTCTCCAGGGATGGCACATGTCTGGAATGTAAGCCCGAGGGAGGAAATGAAAGAAACGGCTGAGCAGCATTTTTGCACATTATTTAAAGGAAAAAAAAATCCCATTACACCTTCTGCCTCCCAAGCCCCATGGAGTACAATCTGGCGCACCTTGTGTCAGCGCAGGATATAGATCCTGGGACCTGGAAAATGCGTGGCGACTTCTGGATCTAAACAGACCCTCGGCCGTAACTACTCCAATATGTAGTCATTGTTTGGCAGAGAATTGTTATTAGTCGAGTTTTCCAAATGAATTGGAGAGCAGGCACACCCACCCCCAGGTTAGACAGGTAACGAAGGGCCGAGCCTTACGCCTAGTAGAGAAGCTCATCCTGTCTAAATGGCTGAATGAGCGCGAACTGCATCCCTAAAGCTCAAACATGGATGTGCACCCGCATGTTCATTTATACATCCATATTCATTACCCAATTTCATCTGACCCAGGGTGCCATTATTTTCTGATAAGGAAAAAATGCTGCCAATTAAACAATGCCATGTAAGATGCCTCCCAGCTCTAAAGAAGTTAAAATACAAAAACATAAATTTCCGAATTGATGAAATGAGGTGAATCTGTATGTGTGCATTGTATGGACACCCACATACGCATTTTTTTTAAGTCCATCATCAATGAACAGCCAAACATGACGTTAGAACTAAAATGACGTTGAGTGTGGGTCTCCTATTGCTCAAATCTTAAGAAATCAGGAAAAGATTGTGTCAACTGAAAATCTAGATGATGCTGAAATTCCTTTATTCCCACTTAAGTGGCCCTGAATGCAAGGTGCCTTTTGCAGCCAACCCCCGCCCCCCATCACTGCTGGAAAACCTCCCACGCATACCACACAGCTACAGACTTGAGCACAGGAAGTCTTGTGGGGCCCTGACATTGTTTCTGTATCTCAGCTGTGTTTCCCCAAGAGTTAGGGCCCCTGCAGTGCGTCTGTGACAAGGGAGGGGTCCCGGCGATCACGTTCCCAGTATCTGCCCGGGAGCTTTAGCATGAATATCCATAACTACCCTGTCCTCCCAAAGGGCTGATTGGCATTCCCGGTGATTTTCAAAAGGAGAGAAGGCCTTATAGGAAAATCAACTTTAAGATTTCTCACTCTCATTACAAATTCCCCTTCCACTAAATCCTTTATTCAGTTTTAATCCAGCTAACGTTTATGACGCACCAACGAGGAGTCGGCATGACTAGGCCCCGTGCTGGAGCTACATAGAGAAGAGCTAATGCTCAGTGAACATTCATCCTGTGCCAGACGAGGGCCCGGGGCTGCTCACGGAGAGGCAGAGGGGACCGCACACACCCGGCAAGAATAGGCACCATGGTCTGCTCAGGGGGCACGGTCAGGGAATGCAGGGATGACCTGGCAAATAACATTTGTTTCTCGTGGTCCATGATAGCACCTGCTTTGGGATGACTGTGTTGAGGAGGATTCTGAGGCCCTAGCACTTACTGGCGTATCTGCCCCATTGTAAGCATCATTGGAAAGGAATTCACCAAAAGGGTGGCTATACAAAGGCATGCAAGTTGCTCCTTAATGACCTGCAATAGTTTGGTAGTTTGGTAGTTTAGCCAAGGTCATAAGGACAAAGTTTTTATTTAATCATTTCATGATGGAATAATGTATGTTCATTACAGACCTTCAGAAAACACAGAAAGTGTTATGGGGGCTATAAATATATGCATAGTCCCCACATTAGGAGGCAGCCCTGTAAACATGTTAGCAGATTTCTTCCCTATCTTTTTCTTATGCATCTTTTGATCATTAAAAAGGAGGAATGTTACAACAACAATAAAGATAAAGAGAAGTCTTTACCTTTTGGGTTCTGTTTAGGGATAACAATACTTCCTAAAATTGTATTCATAGTGCACTCTGGCCGCAAGAGGTTTTCAAAAAAGAAGCCTGGGTTTAAGTACATTTGGGATGCCCTGCACCTTGCATCCCCCAGCGGAGGGCCAGGGGCGTAGCAGCCACAATGTGGCTTCAGCAGAGCAAAGCCCTTGAGGAGTTCACGGTAAACAAGCATGTTCCCATGGAGACGGCTCCTTCCTCTTGCTTCTGTCTTCCTTCCCTCCCTCTCCTTTCTTTCCTGCTTGCTTTCATTACCAGCTAACATCTTGCAACAGAATTACATTCCTGCAGAATACACTTGGGAAATACTTTCTCAGTTGATGTTCCCAGGATTCTGCATTCGTATGCTTCCCCGGGGCCAGGCAGCCAACACAAGGAAAGCAGGCCTACCTCGGGTAAGATAGTGTCTTGCCAATGGGTTTCAGCCACGGGCAAGTTCCCTATGGGTTCAGTGAGACGGAGGAATGACAAGGGAACGGTCTTGGAGTGAAGGGGTTTATTACCTGTCTTGTTCTTCCAGCGGGAGGTCGAGCACTAGAATCGCGTCTGCGTCCAACAGTCTGCAGGTCTGTAATCCTCCTTCGTCTCTGCCTCCCCAGAGCCGGGCAGAGCTCTTTATATAGTGACTCAGTCAATAATAGCTAATTGCCTAGAGGTGTGGAAGCAGCACCCTAGCAGCTGGCCAATTACATCATTAAGCAGTTTAGGTTCAGGTGAGGATCCTGGCCATGGGAACCCCAACTTTGCCCATAGGCAATAAGAGGTAAGAGGCTTTCATTACACCTGGTGGCACTTGCTGAGGAATATTCCCTCCGAAAACACTGCGTGGGCTGAACAAAACTGCCAGATAAAATCCTACCAGACTGTATTTGGAATTGGTAGGATAAAACCGAAGTTCAGAACTGATAAACTTGGAAAACTCTTAAATCTTTCCATTTATATAGAGATCTGTATTTTGTATCTGACCTGAATTGGATCATTTATTTCCATGATCCAAAGTGAATACATTTTTTATGACTCAGACATATTTCTTACTCTCCAACAGGATGATGGACACCGGCAGCATCCAGATGAAAAGAGGAGGCAGAATCCCAAGTGTCAGGCTGGTAGCCCCTGCCCTCGGGCACCCCACACTGGAGGACAGGCCCCCAGGACACAGAGGCTGGCACTGTGGGGACCTTGAGACATCAGATATGTACTAAGCTGCTATCACCACCGAGATACCATCCTAACCAAACATTCTCTTAATTTTCCTTGAAACTGGAAATCTGTTTAGTTTAACACCCATATAAAGTGTCCACCCTAAGAAAAAAGCTTGGAATATAAAGCTTGGAAAGCTTCTACTCCCCAAAAATGTCTGGCATAACAATGTGAACAGCTATCCTGTGCCTTTACCTAAAAAATAGCTAGCAAAGGGGCAGTGTTCCCAGAAGTGTAAAATCCATCACCTCCAGCTTGAGACAGGTGCTTTCGGTGCCCAAAAAGCCTGCAAATGAGTTGCTCAGCCCAAGTCCCTTCACTCTAGCAAATCTCAGTCTGCAGAAATTTATGCTGGCTTTCAGCTATTTTATCCCATATAAAGGCATGGCTTGATCTTTAGGGATTTGTTACTCACAGCAGAAATGATTCACCATTTTCTCCATTTTAATTTTCAGTGACTTATTTTAATTTTGATCATTTCTTCTTAGAACATATTATTTGTAGTCTTAATTTTAAATTATTTTTAATAAGTATAATGTTATATAAATTAATAATTATATAAGTATTACAATATCATGTTATATAGTTATGGTCATCTCTAGTCGTATCGTTGTTTTTAAGAACAAGTTATTTTCACCTTAATTTTTTATCTTAATTTTACTCCTCTGAGTGAGGAATAGAAAATGCCAAGGTGAGTGAGATCATATTGGGTGCCCCAAATAAAAGAAGCCCTCTGCCTTTCTTCCCGCAGTCAGCAGTACGGAAGTCTGTTAGCCCTTAGAGCAGATCTTTCAACTTCCTTATGTGGTTAAATAAGAAACTCCTAAGATCCTCTGGGGAAGGTCAGGTAAATAGCCTTAGACTCAACATCATGGCCCTTAGCAACTCATTATTTATTTATTTTAATAAACACTCATATAGCAGTAGCTACTATATGCCAGATACTGTTCTAAGCATTTTATAAATATTGACCCAGAACTTCCCCCCAAAAGAATAATGAGCCCTATCCAAGCAGCGCTTACAAGAGCTGAGAGAGCTGTGTTTCTCTCTTATCTTTAGAAGTAACGCTAAGACCCCAGCTGAGGAACTGATACACAAAGAGGCAGCAGGTGGTATGAGAACAAGGGCTCTCAAAGTGTGACCCAGGAAGCTGGTTCAGGGGCCTCTGCGGTCAAAACTATTTTCCCAATAATACGTTATTGCCTTTTTCACTCTTTTCTCTCACACGCATACAGCCAAAGCTTCTCGAAGCCCCACACATGTGGCTCCATGACGTTGCTCGGAAGCTTCCACCCCTGAGTGGGCTCTCCCTGCAGGAGGGGCGACGTGTGTGTGAGACACGTAAAGGAGATGGGCTCATGGGCTCAGCCCTTTCAGAACCGGCTTGCCTACACGCAGCCTGTGTCTTCTCTTTCCTGCCTCCATTCAGTAAGGCACATCTGCCACCGGAGGGGAGGCTGCCGTCCTCTGTGCATGCAGGGTAATGTTAATTCACAGAAAAAAGATAAGGAAAAATATTTTAGCCTTAGTTCCAATTTCTCCAGAAATACAGCTAATCTGGTTTCTTGCCAGTGGGTTTCAGCCCTGGGAAAGTTCACTATGGATTCAGTGAGACAGAAAAATGACAATGGAACATTCTTGGGATGAAAGGGTTATACCCAACTTTATTCCCACGATGGCAGGTCAATCACCAGACTCCCATCCACTCGGAGCAAGTCTGCAGGCAGCAGGCTGGGCTCTGCCTCTGGGCCTCTCTGCCCGCATAGCCATCTCAGTCTCCATCCTTGGTGCTGCCACCACTCCAGTCTCATCTCTGCTCTCCTGCGGCCTTGCAGCTGCGCCATCGTATCACCCAGAGCACTGGGTAGGACTCTTTATATATAGAGAGAGTCAATAACAATGTATTGCCCACGTGTGTTGTGAGCTAGCTGACCAGGACCAGTGAGAATCCTGGCCACAGGAACCTTCACTTTATCCACATCTGGTAGTCCACATACATAGGCCACTCAAATAGTGCATGAACTTAGAGTGTTGCAGTGATTCATTTATGCCTCAGACCCCAACATGTGACTGTAGGTAAGCCATGTCCTCTCTGTACCTACTTACCTCCTCCGGAATGGACAGATCACAGCTGCCCCAAAGCTCATGACGTGACCCAGACAAGTAGTCCAGAACAGGGCCATGCAGATAGCTGTTGCTTTATTAGCCTTCATTCGCTAAATGAGATCTCCAGAGAGCTTCGGCATGCAGGAGAACGAGCGACACATAGGCAGAGAGCCATCAACTTGCCTTCAGTGCTCTAAGATGTTCCTTCATGCAACTCGCAACCCAGGCGTCCCATCTTGTCCTCACAGAGGTCCTGGGTGGCGGCTGTAATGTGCTCTCTCAAACTGTGGCAGGTTCACAGTCAGTCTCATAATCAGGAATGAAACAGCAATAAAGAGATGCTTTCACTGCTATTTCCACGTCACCGAGAGAGGCATTGCCTGCTGGTTGAAGTTCACAAAGTCAGTGGTGAATTTGGAAGAACTGGAAGGTCCCTGGCCTTTGCTGAAAGTCAGTGGTGAATTTGGAAGAACTGGAAGGTCCCTGGCCTTTGCTGCTGGGTGTCCTGAGGCTGACGTTAAATCCCAAGGCACCTGAAGGGTGACGTGCGGGCGAGCTGAGATGGATGGTCAGGGTGACCAAGGAGAGGTCCCAGCTTTCAAAGCTGAGGACAAACAACACTGTGTCTTGGGGCCAGCTCCCTGTTAGATATGTGAATGTGATACTGTGATTTATAATAAGAAATAGATGTTTATCTTTATCCCCCATTCCTGGCACAGAGCTCCTAAACCCTTGGAAATTCCTACGTGAAAGGCAGCAAGGGACAGCAGATGCCAGAATCCACTGAGAGCCCTTGCCACAGCTAAGGCAATGGAGGGCACCTGGCTGAAGCTGCGGGGTTCAGGAGAACAGCCTCTCCCTAACCTTGACCCAGCGGGGAGGGAAACAAAGCAGTTACTACTCTAGTCTCCCTCTCCTGCCACCTTGCATCCCTACTTCCTCATTCCGGTGGCCAAAACCAACAGGAAGTCAGAGGGCAGGGGAATCCAGTAGGTTGTTTGTAGTGTCAGCATCCCGGGGCACAGAGCAGAGAGGAGGAAGGAGCGATGCTGCCCTGGAGGTGTATGCAAAGGACAAGAACGAAGGGTTGCACCCTGGAAGCTCAGGGAAGAAAGTGTTTCAATGGGGTGGATGTGATCAACAGTGTCAGATGCCACTGACGGGTTAGGTAAGATGTGGATCCCCTCAAGAAGCAGAGAAGGTCGTGTGGTCGATGATAAGAACTGTGTTGGTGGAAGCGTGAGAGAGAGAGGCTAATTGGAGTGGATTTAGGAGAGGAAGGCGGGAGAGACATCGGAGACAGAGACTCAAGACAGGTCTTTCTACAAAAAGAGCAAAAACAATGGAGAAGTGAATTGCTTGCAGAAATGGGGTAATAAAGCATTTTCTGTTCGACTGATTTTTTTAAAAGAAGGAAGATGCTGACACATTCATTCATTACAAGAATTGCTAATTTCCCATGCCATCCTGAAAAACAGCCCAATTTGTGCAGCATCCTAGAGATGTTGAATCCCATTAGAACATCCATGCCTAACAGCATTTCTCATAATAGAACTTTTCCTTCCATAATATTATGACAATACCTACTCCTACTTATTCATCCTCTTCCGCATCTCCTCGCATTTTGCCAGCGCTACTTTATACATCAAAGACAAAACTATGTACAAAAATGCAGACTTTCACTCCAGTGACTGCATCTAGAATATAGAGGCCAGAGAAAAGTGTGTCCTGCTCAGTGGAGGATCAAGGCACGATTCCAGCACGTGATACGCCCAGTCCAGTCCCCGAAACATGTGAAAACACAAACGCAGCCCTGTGAGCTGCAACTGGAGAGCCCCATACATGATCACAGCCCCCCAAAAAGGAAACAGAAGATTGTTCTTCGCAGAAGAAGGCAGCCAAAGACATCAACCTCCAGTATCATCGGGTTTTCTCTGCCCCTAAGCACCTTGCCTTTCATTCAGACATATTTGTGATATCTTGGAGGGACCCCATCTGAAGCAAAGACCCTTCCTGGGCTTCTAACCGGTTTATGTGAGTGGCTTTCCTAGGCTCCCATGCCCCTTGCCCTGGCTGTCTCCCTTACTCAAGTGAGGGTCGAGGACACCCCAACCTTTCCTCTTTAACCACTCATCCTCCCTTTAACTTTTGGGATGGTAACCTCCCTCACTTCAGGATGGTATCAGGTAGGGACATTTATCTCAGGGTCAGAAAAACTGACTTTTACCATTTGAGCTCCAATCAGGAGCCCCAGGAGAGATTTAAAAAGCTCAAAACTTATTTAATGCAAGGGAGGAATAGCGCTCCTACTCTAATAAACCACTCACTAAGGGACTGTCCACGAATGAGTGTTTTTTCCACAGCTCTGCGGAGTGTGTCCTGAGGCAGGTTATCACCGTGCACCTACTGTGTGACTAATAACTGAGGGGGATAGAAACCATCAATAGCAGGTGTTAAAGGCAGCAGCTTCATCAACCATTTCATGCACTTTTAATTTTCTCAGCCAGTTTTCGAGCTCTTCAGGGGCACGTACAGTGTCCTGATGAAGTATCAACACAGGAGCAAACAACACGTTTTCTGCATAAATGGCTGAAAGAATTCACTTTTCACTATGTGCAAATAACTCACATAAAGAGGGGAGTTCAGTGCAATCAGGTATGTGCATAGCTTTATGAAACTCTCTTTTCCTTGAAGATACTGGAATTTTAGAAAGAAGAATGGAGGGAACACAAACTAGGGACTCGCAAGGAGAAACTTAGGAAAGAGTAAGATGTTCAAGGATGTAGGTGTTCAAAGGGAGGCAGGTCTTCAGAGGAAGCAAACAGGATTGTGTATTTATAAGACAAAAGCCATGACCTGTCATTAAATATATTCTCCCCATCTGCCTCCCACATGGGGACAAATGTTTAAACATGCTCGAAAGCACCTTGTGATGCTCGCCCTCAAGCAGTCTGTCCCGATACGTACAGAATAACAACTTATCGTGTTATCTCCCTTTGCTGAGAAAGATGAAGCCTTGCCTTACTTTTATGTACATCCCCACACACTCACACTCACACACACACACACACACACACACACACACACACACACACACACCAAGAGAGAGGGGGAAGGAAAGAAACTGTACGTACATGACTTGGGGAGAGGCAGTTGAGTGGAGTAGCTGTGAGTACCGACTGCGGACCTCCTAGGTTTACATCCTGACTCTTACGTTACTACCTCTGAATGTTGGACAATTACTTCTTTGCCTTACCTGTAAAATCAGGATGATAATGGTGTCTGCCCCTGTAGCATGCAGATTACATGAAAAATATACAGAATATGCACAGAACAGTGCCTGGCACCTGGTCAGGGTTACTTGTTTAGCGTAGTTTCATAACAAGACTCTGTCTTGACTGGGGTGCCTCATCCAGGCCCCGCTGTGTGGCAGGCAGCTGTTGAAGGGGTGGAGAGGAAGGGAAGTGGTGAGGACCTGGGCAGACATGCTCTCAGACACCTGAGTTAATAGAGTGTAGACAAATACAATCAAAGCTGGGTAACTTTGTTTGAGACCTTTAAAGCACCAGCATAGACTATAAATGCAGATTCCCAAAGGAGCAGAGTGGGTTGGTTAATATCTTTAGCCGTTTCTTTTCATGCCCTCTGAGCTGGGCAGGCAAGTAAGGGAAGCATCCAGAAACCCAAAGAGGCCACAGGCTGAGGCTCCGGAGGTCTGCTCGTGTTTGATCCTCTCCATATTTAGATAGGAAAATAATTCTTCCCCTCCATCAGTTAGTCAATGAGTGAGAATCGACAGATGCTCTCAGGGGCAGATCCCTTTACGCACCCCCAGTTCTTGCTTTGCTTAATCAAAGCTTCCTGGAAGGAAAGCTATAGGCCCATCCAACCAGTGGCAGGACCCCCGGGCTGGGCGCGGAGTCGGGGAGGGTCTGCAGCTCTGTGTGCACCGCCCCCGGGGCATCGCTTGGATCTGCGGCGCTGGGACTCCGGCCAACTTATCTTGCTGAAATCCAAACAGTTTTAAATTCTGAAGCATATTCAGCACTAAGGGTTTTAGATATGTGATGGCGACACTAATACTGATATCTCTGTACGTATTTATGAGTTATATGTTTAGGATAAATTTGAAAAAGTACAGTTGCTAAAAGTATGCGCATTTTAAATTTCCTATCATCAAATTGCCCTTCAAAGGAGTGAACCACTTGCCTCACCAACAATATCAAATGAAAATGCCTGTTTTTCCACACCCTGAACAAACCTTTCAATGTTTGCCTAACACAATACGTGAAAAGTGATAATGATCCATACAGTCTTCACTTGAGTTCATTTTATTATGAGAGATTAAGCATCCTTAAAATTTACAACGGATTTGTGTATATTTTTTAAATATTAGGTTAATTACACCCTTGGCTTTCTATATGTGTTATAAATATTTTTTTCCCAATTTGTTGTTTGTATTTTGATTTTATTCATGATTTATTGTGCAGCAAGTTTTGATGCTTTCATCATTATATTTATTCATCATTGATGCTTCTGGAATTTATTTTGATGCCAGGCATTGTCAGCCTGCCATAACAACCTGTCCCAGAGTCGGCAGCTTTGCAACAGTAGAAATGTATCCTCTCTCAGTTCTGTAGATCCGAAGTCCAGCATAGCCCGACTAGATGCTCTGCTCAAGAGTGTCAGGGGGCTAAAGTCAAGGCACTGGCCAGGCAGGTGTCTTTCCACAGGCTCTGGGTAGAACCCAATTCCAAGTTCACTAAGGCCCTTGGTGGAATCCAGCTCCTTGCCGGTAGACCCACGGTCTCTGTTTCCTGGCTGTTTGTCAGCCACAGGGCTAGCCTCAGCCACAGGAGGCCACTCCCCATCTCCCGTCACACGGTCCCACCCACAACATGATGAATCCACAGGACAGCCGGTACTGCGGCTTCAGATCTGGCTTGACCTCTTATTTCTCTTCTGCTTTTAAAGACCCATGTGATGACCCTGGGCCTGAGACAGAACAGAAAAAGACCCAGTCTATTAAGTAATTTGTAATGACCAGGAGCCCTTATTGCCTCTGGTGGGTTGTTTTGTTTTGTGTTCATGATCAATCTGACTGAGTCTGTCCCCCATGTACTGACCAAACAGTCATGTGTCACTTTGAGTCATCCCCATTACTGCTCATTGGATGCCTGAGGATGTAAAGATTTTCATTTGTTTTTCTTCAATCACTGGGCCGAGGCAGTGTAACAGCAATCAAGAGCACGGGTCCTGGAGTGAAACTTGCTTGGGGAGAATCTTGGCTTCAGGATCGGCAGCTGTGTGACCTTTTAGAAACGTTTCCCCACCTCCTCTCTGGAGAGTCAGCTGAGGATTCTTTCCTCCGTCCTGACTCCCTCTGTTCCAGGGTAATAAAGCCTTGGCCAAGCCAGACTGGGAGCCTGGTGCTAAATGTTGTAGCATGCGGAGCTCAAGGACCCTAGGCTGGTCACTGGCCCTTCTGAATGATTCTGGATAATCTCCCTATTTTAAGGCCTCCTGTGCACACAAGTCAACACAATCATAAGAGAAACGCTGGGCAAAGATCATGGGGTACATTTGGAATTCTGCCTCCTGGAAGAATAAAGGAAGACTCTGACTTGTTTTTCCAGATTGCTACCTAGTTGTCCCAAAATCATTTTGAATAAATCACTGGTACCTATTTGCTTGGTTTTTTGAAATTTGGATTTCTGGATAATTCAGAAGTGTCAATGATTTGAGTGGAACTCTGCGCCTACCTGGCTCGCGCTCCAGCTCCTCAGAGGATGAGAGATGACTGCCTGACAACTCTAACACTCGCGCAAGTCAGAATAGCCCCATTCGGGGCCCAGTTCCAGAGAGTCGGTATGGAAGTCCTGGGCTCAGGGGTGCCGTCGGAGGAAAGAGAGTGAGTGGAGACTCAGGTGTGTGGCTGGTCCATGAAGCACGCACGAGGTCTGGATTCAGTTCTCATAACCTGAGAGTTAAAAAACCCCAGAAAAACTGAGGTCCAGGGAGGCGTGAAGGGGTTGCAACAAGGTCAATGGCCTCTCCCTGCCATCAAACGTCCATCTACACCAGGTAAGAAAGATCTAGTCGCTTACATCTCCAGAGACACGGCAACGTCCAACTACTGTTACTTTCAAGTTGCTGCAACCCTTGGACAACTGGCTGAACTGCTGAAAGTGATGGAGAAACCAGGACAGAACTTGGGGTGACTGAAGAAGTCATTTATTGAAGCTGCTGTTTATATATTATAAACATATTATAAATTACATATAGGATAGCTGTCATAGTATTACTCTGCCCATGTTTCGGTTTGTGCTTTCAATAACTCCAGTGTTTTCATCTTGATTTTTGTTTTGTTGATGTAGATATTTTAGTTTCTGGACACTGAGAAGAACAGCCTGGCCATGATAATGTTACTTCTGCACCATTATTGATCCATTCTTTTAATAATAGTCTGCCAGCTCTGTCTCTGGCTGGTTATTTGCTATTTTCTCACCCATTTCTACCCTGCACTTGAAGATCTAGCTCTGATTCTCTTCATGTGCCGAAGCTATGTCATAGGTGGCCAAGAATAAAATGAATTATCCCAAGCTCTTTATACAGAGAACCTCCACTTCTCTGTAGCTCTCTCTGCAGTGGATCTACCTCCACTTGCAAGCAGGGGGGGAAAGTGCCACCTTGATATCGAGGTTCCCTCCTTTCCCTTCTGTTCCCTCCACCCTCACATCTATTCTCAGTCTGGCTCAGAACTAATACGTGAGAGAGGACCGCTTTTTTATGTTGTTATACATGGTAAGTGTTGAATTCTTACGCACAAGCCACAAATTAAAAAAATCATTTTTTCCTCTGTAAGCTTCTAAAATAAGAAAATGAGTGTGTGAGAATATGTTTTTCAAATACATAATGTAAATGACAGTTATAAATGGAAATCATCTTGCAATCAAAGACGGTGACTATAGCATCACACCGGCTGTTAAATGTAGAGTGGGAAACTTACATCCCAGGCTAAGAAAGAAAAGAAATCTATGCATAGTTTATGATATCTGTATGTCCGTATGACATCTATCCACATTTAAACCCATTTATGACTCACTAACAAAAAAACTTCTTGGACATGGAGTCTTTGGGATTTTTTTCCCCGCAACAAACCCTCCATAAAACCTCCTAGAGTTCCTGTCCTTGAAGCAGGAGTCAAAGGAGACAGGGAGGAATAAACCCTGTGAAGGTGAGAGGGGCCCTCTGTCCAGTGGCTACTGTCCACCGTCAGCAGTCTCTCATCTTTTTATCGTCACATCTATAAAAAATGCCGTTTATCAGATAATGGAAATAATTCAGATTTTCAGGTGCCAGATAAGAAACATCAATTGTTTTGTGGCGTTTCGTTACTAGAAATAAGTGCACTCTACCTTCCGGTTGTTCTTCGTACTCTGTTTTCCCTGAGAAGGAATTGCATGTGTCAGCACAAGGCGTCTTCTGAGATGACGGTAGCAGCAGAGAGAGGCTCCGGGAACCCTGGCTTGCACCCCCAAGTGGTTGGGAAATCTGGTGCAGGGAGGCCTCCCCGCCAGCTTGGTGGGACCTCCAAGAGGTTTCTTGGCTCTGGGTGAGAAAAAATTCAAGAGCGGGTCAAGCAGATGCAAGCAAGCAGGAGCTTATTAAAGCACAAGGATACACCGAGAGAGGGAGTGTGGGTGTGCTGGGGGGTGAGCAGCCCAGAGGTACAGTGGGTGGGGTTTAAAAAGGGCCTGATTAACTGTGGGGTGAATATCCATGGATGCAGGGCGAGTAACTGCCTAATGCGCTGGGTCGCGCATGCCTAGTGAGGGAGAGAGAGAACATCTCCTCTTAAGAGGAAATTGACCTGGCAGGCCGACCATCGGGACTTTATTTTGGTATGCGCGGGTCTGCAGCATCCTATTGTTCTCTCCCGGTTGTTCTGAGCCCTGTGCATCCCGTGTCTTTGCAAGCATCCTGTTGACCCCATACCTTCCGATCTGCGCCCTGAGCCCCTCTGCCCCCTCGTCCGGCCTGCCTCACCAACACCATTCCAGATTAAGGATGGGAAGTCGATGAAGGCAATAAAGAGAGGAACATCAAAGAGCAGGGTACTTTTACTCAAATAAACCTTTGCTTCATCAATTGTTCATATATGTTTATTTATGCAACGAGTATTTGTCAAGAGTCTCCTATGTGCCAGACATTGATTTAGGGCTGGAGATAAACAATGAATAACAACAAAAACCCCACAAATGTCCCAACCGTGTTGGAGCTTCCCTTCGGTAGAGCTGAAAGACAATGAACATGGCAGATCAGTAAAACACACACGATAGATACTAAAAGATGATAAAAATTAAAAAATGTCGGTGAGAAAGGCAAGCTGAAATTTTAGATGAGGTGATCAGAAGGGGCCACACCAAGAAGTGAAAACAAAATGGGAATCAAAACACTTCAGCTGACAGCCATAGTTACCCCTCTCCTATCCCCCACCACGCCCATGGAAACAGACAGGAGGGAAGAAAACTAACCCTACGCACTGATGTGAACCACACCTACGTGCGCACAATCCAGCTTAAGAAATAAAGCCTTATGGATACCAACGCGAACCCCCGCATAATGTTCACCCACTGCTCCCTCATACCTCACGGTCAAAAGTAACCAGTATCCTTAACTTGGTGTTTATCCCGTCTGTAGATTTTGCTTCTTCTGCGTGTGAATGTATTCCTAAACTATGCAAGGAATCAGACCATATGCATCCTTCTGAAACTTGTCTTTATTCCCTATTACACATTTTTAGATTCATCCCTATCAGTATAAATATCTCCAGGTCATTAACTATAAACTGCTTCATAGAATTTTATATTATAACCCTCTTTTCTCTTGTTATGGTCATTAAATGTTTCTGCAATTAACTTGTTAAAAATTTTATTTGCTAGTTTTGTCTGCTTAAGAAAGCTCCCTTCTATTACTGGTTTTTAAAGACATCTTTACTATGCATGAGTATTGAATTTTATTATTTCTGAATCTACCGAGAGGATAATATTACTTTTCTTCCTTATTCCTTTAACATAAGGAATTACATTATTAGCTCATCGGCTGCTGAGCTATCCTTGTATGCCTAGTATAGGTACAACGTGGTCATGTTTAGTTCCATTTAATATGTTGCTATGTTCAGTAATAAGATCTTTGTCCCTATGGTAGGTAAATTTAGCGTAGAATCTTCCTTTCAAGTATTGCGCTTCTCTGGTTTTGATGTGAATGTTATGCTACCTTCATAAAATACCTTGGACACAGGCACTCATTTTCAAATATCTAGAATAGTTTGCATAGGATTAAGATCTGTTTTTTTGGTGTTCCCAGGAACTCACCAATAATCTTATTTGGCATTTGAGGATGGTGTATATTTTTTAATTGAAATTATTAAGATTATTGTAGATTCCTATGCAGGAGTAAGAAACTGAAAGCCCACGGACCCTTTGACAAGCGTCACCACTGATACGATCTTGTCAAACTGTAACACAATATAACAACCAGGATACTGACATCATACAGTCTCTCAGATTTCCTCAGCTTTGCTTGTCCTCACCTGTGTGTGTGTATTTGTTCTACTGATTTAATTTGTAGGTTTGTGTATCTGCCACCACAATCAAAAGGCAAAACAGTCCCATCATCACAAGTATCTCTTGTATTGCACTTTTATAAACTCAGAGGAAAAGGAATATAATCTTAATGCATGATATTGCTTTTGATTGTATTTTTTTAAATATAGCTGATAGACATTATAATAATATATAGGTTTCAGGTGTACAACACAGTAACTTGACAAATATACATGTTACAAAATGCTCACCATGTAAGCGTAGCTAACATGTCACCATACAAAGTTACTATAGTATCATTGACTGTGTGCCCTATGACGTACTTTTTATCCATGTGACTTATTCATTTTATAATTGGAAGTTTGTCCCTCTTTATCCCCTTCACCTATTTCACCCATTCCCCTGCCCCCTCTTATGGTAACAACTATCAGTTTGTCCTCTCTTTTTATGACTTTTTTCATTTTGTCTTTTAGATTCTACATATAGTGAAATCATATGGTATTTGACTTATTTCACTTAGCCTAATACCCTCTAAGTCCATCCATGTTGTCACAAATAATAAGATTTCATTTTTTATGGCTGAGAAATATTCCATGACACATATATACCCCACGTCTTTCTTATCTGTTCACCTACTGACGGACACTTACGTTGCTTCCATGTCTTGGCTATTGTACATAATACTGCAATAAATAAAATGGTGCATATACTTTTCAAATTATGTATTTACCCTGTTTTCTTCAGGTAAATCCAAGCGTGGGATTTCTGGGGAGGATGATATTTCTATTTTTAATTTTTTGAGGAAACTCCATACTGTTTTCCATGTGACTGCACCAATTTACATTCCCACCAATAGTACACAAGGGTTCCCTTTTCTCACCAACATTTGTTATCTCTTTATATATATATATATACACACTAGCCTTTCTGGCTGGCATTCTGCTCTGGCAAACTTCTGGGGAGGTGGATATATGAAAAAAGAGTGGACACTAAGAATAATTTAGGACCAAAAGGGAGGTACAACTATAGAAGTAGAGATTTTTTTTTAAATGAGAAAAAACTATGAAAAAAAGTTTGTACTTATTTGAAATATATTTGGCAAAAATGTTTCCTAGAAAAAATGTACTTTACTGAAATGGACATAAGTAGAAACCAAAAACATGAGAACTCAACCATAACAGAAATATCATGCACTGGAGAATGAAACTGGACCGCTTTCTACACCATCCACAAAATGAACTTGAAATGGATTAAAGACCTACATAGAAGACCTGAAGCCATTAAACTCCTAAAAGAAAACAAGGAGTAAACTCTTGAATATTAGCCTTGGTCATGTTTTCTGGACATGACTCCCCAGGCAAGGCAAAACAAAGCAAAAATAAACAAGTGAGACTACATCGAACTAAAAAGCTTCTGCACAGCAGAAGACCCCATCCATAAAATGAGAAGGTATCCTACTCAATAGAATATATTTGCAAGTGATATGTCCAGCAAGGGGTTAATATCCAGAATATATAAAGAACTCATACAACTCAACACCAAACAAACAATCTGATTAGTAAATGGGCAAAGGAACTGAATAGACATTTCCCCCAAAAAAAGACATACAGAGAGCCAACAGGCACACGAAAAGATGCTCCACATCACTAATCATCAGAGACAAGCAAATCGAAGGACAGTGAGACCTCACCTCGCAGTCAGGTGGGAGGTGGTCGCTCAGGGCCTTACACTGTGGCATCTGATCCATGACATTCTGGCTGATTAAAAACTTTGTCACCATTCTCAAAACATGCTCTTTCTTCATTCACACATATTATTGCACTAATGCTCACTCCATAGCCATGAGCAGAGGAAGCAGAAAGCCGATAACCCCACTTGACAGATGAGAAGATTGAGAGTCACAGTATAAAGTCCTTCTTCCAAATCGACAGGGTGGGTGAACGAAGGGCGGATGCCAGCTCGGCTCCCAGCTCCGTCACCTGCCCTGCCACACAGCGGAGGGTCCCTAGTGCGGGCCAAACCTCTTTGTCACATATAGAATGCTTACTTTTATCACGTTTATTTAAAATATCTTTAGCAACAAAATGAGAGAGATTATAACAAAAATTCCGACTTTGAAAATGTATAGGAATATATATAATTTTTCACTTTTAGTAACTCACTCAAAATTTTATTTTTTTATAATTCAGAAATATATTTGTGTGTTGGTTATATTCAGGGTAAAAATATCTAAGCATGTTAGCATTTCATCTTCGTATCATGCAAACTAAGAACTAACAACTTTCAACCACCGCGGATACGAGTAGATACCCCACCAGCAATTATTCAGTTGGAAAAGTTTATTGAAATAATGTGAGCAAAGCAATGTTTTGCTGCAGGATTACATCAATTAAAATATGATCACGAAAACGGGTTTGTCAGTGATGAACAAATTTGCAAATGGTGTCAAAGGTGAAGCCCAGTGTTCACATGGGTGACCTCAATATCAATAAAAGATGCTCTTGAAATAAGAAAAAATTCAAGTGGCCCAAACACAGATGTACATTTGCTCCTGGGACTAAAGGGTGTCTGTGTTCGGAGTGTTAGGCTCTGACAATCTCAGGATTGTTAGAAACAGCAAGTGGAGGAAGAAATATGGTACAAGACCTGAGAAACTGCTCCTAAGTAAAGGGACAAAGCTGACTTTGCCCCTTGGGCAGCGGGCAGTAACTCCTCCTGTGGGGCAGGCCGGGAGTAGGGCAGTGTGCCTGTCTCATGGCCATTCACGTCTACACCTCACCCCAGGGAGTGGGCTCCACTTGGCAGAGCAGATCAACGCTCTGCTGGTGGACTCTAGCACAATTTTGATGTGACACCATTCTGGGGAGTATCTAACTGATATTTTTCTTTATCAAGCGTGTCGTCCTGCACACACACACCTACATAGCCTTAGAGATAACTCCGCAATGGAGGGAGAGTGACAGTCGCCACTCAAAGTGTACCACAGACGCACACCGTCCGGCGCGACGGAAGCCCGCGTGCGCCGGGATGCACACAAGATATATTCCGTGCTTCAGAGCTCTGGTGTCAGCTCTGACTTTGTTTTCGCATGGTGGCCCTAACATGCTTTTCCAGTTCCAGTAAGTTTTGGTAAAATTTCTCAGCAGTGTCTTCATCTAGGTCCATCTGGAAAGGAAGGAGAGACAGGGATGACTAGAAAGGAAAAATGAAACAAACTGTGTGTGTAAAAGGAAGGCATTCAAGTGATACGTAAGAGAATGAAGGAAAAGGAACAGGGCCGGAAGGGAAGCACCGAGGTTTCCCAGCTCTGAGCTCCTGAGGACACGCTGACTCTAGGTCCGGACTCCAACACTGACCCAACCCACCGGGACTTCCCTGAGAAGCACAGCCGAGAGCCGGCCTGAGCTTCTCCCAGGACGCCTAAGTACCCAGCAGCAGAAGAACTCAACTGACCGCACTATAAGAAAGGACAAAAGAGAAAAACCAAGAGTTTTTTTGAAATCCCAACTGCTACTCATCCCTGAACATCCATCATCTTTACTACAAGAGCCCTGGCTTAGCGGGGCTCACGGCCCTCCAGTAAAAGGCCACGTTTCCAGCTGCCACAGAAGCTAGTGAGTACCACGCCTCTGTGTTCCGGCCAGGGAGATGTAAGTGGCAGTGTTGGGTGTCCACCCCAGGAGTCTCCTTAAAAGGAATGGGCATCCCTCTCTCCCCCGCCATCCGTACCGCTCTCCTGAGCCATCAGGACGAGGCCGACACCCTACAGACGGCTGAGCGTGGCTGAGGGGGTCTGGGAACCTGACAACTTGCAGAGCTGCGATACCAGCCCCAGGCTGTCTCTCTCTCTCCAAACTGCTTTCACAGGAAAAAAATCTAAGCTTCTATCTTGCTTAATCCATGATTATCTTACATTCTTCTGTTTCATGTAGAAAACCTCATTTTAACTGATACAGAGTATGTACAAGCACCTTTCAGCTCCTATAAAATAAAGTGATGTCTCTTTTCAAGTCAATGCAGAGCCTAACTTCAAAAACAAGGCTCTTTCTTCACAAAACTGAAAGGCTAAACATCAAAGAAAACTTTGAAACAGTTTGGAAATAACATTTATATTCATTCAATCACACTAGAGTTTTTCCATATTGGAACTGGCAGAAACATAAGGGATCTCTTCAGTTCGACCCAACGTTTTAACAGAGGAGAAAGCTGACTTCTCCAGATTAATTGAGGGTTAAAATACTTTAATACACTTCCATAAAATGATAATAAAATACTTTAATTTATAGAGTTAAACATTCTCTCCTGTTGGTAAACAAAACATTCCCTAAGGATTGACGGCTAGGAAGTTCAAACTCTGAGCACCTAAAAGTAAACTGAGTTCTCAATTTCCAGTCGAGTTCTTAAAGTGTGTTCTTTGGGACGTTTTTAAGTGTTCTACAAAATCTGAAGGAAATTGGGATGCACCACAGCAGAGTTTGAAAAAAGAAATTTATTTTGAAGGAAAAAAAAAGTTATATGGTCAAGAATAGTTTTGAAACAGCAGGATTAAAAACATTTCATACAAAGTTCTTAACTGTATCAACTTCTCACAAACCTTCCCTGGGGAAATGTACATTGTACAAGTCTCCAAAAGAGGAGAATATCCTGTGAAACAATTACCTGGCTGATGAACAATTTTTTGCAAATTTTCTCAAGGAGCTAGGATCCCGCAGAACACATTCTGGAAAACACCGGAGGCTCATGGGTCCACTTTTAGTGAGCTGACACCATGGGAAGCAGGAACCACAGCTCTCCTTAGACCTCAGGCCGCTGGCATATAGACAAGACCGCCGCCAATGATTTCACTTAGCCGAGATGACCTATTTGGCTCAATCTGATTTTATTTTATGCCAATACCTCCCACAATACGTGAGGCAGTGAAAAATGGGAGGCTGAAATAAAGCTTACTCATGATACAAATACAACAAAGAGTTCTTATAGGTTCAAAATACGCTTTCTCATTTCCTAACATGTAACTCTATTTGACTTCTTTTTTAAAAATTCTGCAGAATCTAAAGAACACAGCAACTGTACTGAGGGGTTTTTATCCCCTGCTCTATCTCCTGCCTCCTCCAAACCGCCCCCTGCTAAAGCTGGCATGGTCACAAGCAGCACTGAACATTCAAAGGGCACTTAACTTCACTCGGAAGGGCACTTTCATCCAACTTGCAACACATTTTCTGGGCACCCACCGTATGCGAGGCAGCATGCTAGGAAAGGGGGCATGACCTTCGTCCTCACAGAGCTTATCTTCAGACAAGGGAGCCTGGCGCGGAATGGATACTATACGAGGGGTGGAGAGGTCAAGAAAGCCTATGATGGAGGCCCCTGGCCTGGTCCAGAGGATCACGGAAGGCTGAGGTGCAAGCTGAGATCCTCAGCCTAAGTGGAAAGCAATCAACTGAAAGAAGACAGCAGCTGAGGTGGGCAAAAGGAAGCGCAGAGGCTCAGGGGCAGGACAGAGGAGACAGAAATGAAAACAGGCCAGCGAGGTGCCAGCGAACAGGAGAGGAGGCCCAGGGAAGAGAAGCGGGGAGCTGGGGGTGCTGCTCGGGGGCTCAGGGCCAGTCTATCACCCGGCAGCAGCCGGCATCGAGGTGACGACGTTGAGTTACCTTCTGGGCCATCACGTAATTGCTCCCGAAGCCGGTGGTGGCACTCAGATATTTGGTGAGAGGATTGAGAGACTCCGGCTTTTGGTGGAAGAGCCACACCTGGAAAGGAAGAGGGTGTCAAGGATTTTTTATTTCTGCCCAACGTGCCTGAGGCAGGTGGGGATTTACAATCGGGACTTTTAGGAGCTCCCACAAACTCTAAGAACCCTCCAGAGCATCGGCAGCCAGCTGTGATGTCTCGTGACCAGGAAAGGAATCTGAGGCCAGAGGCAGGCCAGCCTGCAGGAGCGGCCTTCCAGAATTTATTTAAAGCCTAAAACCCCTCACACCTGAGCTGTCTCTTCCCTTAAGCCCCAAATTAAATCCTTACCTGTACCCCCAGCACCCATAAGCACCACTATGTGGTGATTAGAGGGATCGTCTCCTGCCCACCCACATTGTAGGAAATCGTGAGAGGGGGCATGTGTCCAGAACGGTGGCACTGGGTCACGCTCCCTGGGCTGTCCTAATCCAGCCTGGCCCTCGGAGCCTGGATCAAGCCCCACTCAGGAGGCAGAGCCCGCTCCGGCCAGTCCAGCCCCCACTGGTCCTCTTTTCTGACCACTCCTAGAGTATTCATCACCTGATAACAGAATGTCTTATTCTCTTGCCTATTTTCTATATTCCTTCTTTTTTCCAAACACGACTCTGGGCCCCTTAGTAACTAGAGATTTTGTCTTCCAGCTACTCCTCACGCCACCAACACTCCTGGCCTCTCTGCTTGGCTCCCCGTGTTGTCGAAGTACAGA